AATCCCCAAGACCCGGTGAATAAATGAAGACACACACAGAATGTTGAGATGTTGGCTGTTTAATAGTGGACATCAGTTAATATAATTGAAGACAGAAAATAACCCCTGCGGGCAGAATAAATTACAGGAGTTTGGTAAATGATCTACATGTAATTGATAATGAATACATGTATAATCAAAATTGTTTTCATACAATTTAAAATGATTGACAATTGAATAATCGTTAGACTAAGTTGACATATGACCACAGAATAACAATTTATATTCATGTACACGCACTAGCAGACACTTGAAGGAGCCAATCTCCCTCTCTTGTAGGACGAATGAAAACAAGAAGGGCTCACGCCATGTATGAGGACCAGAATACAAAAAGTAGGCCTTGTTGACTGTGACTGGAGGATTGAAGCGCGCTTTGACACAAGTGTGTAGTACTGGCTGCTTCTGACAATATCATTGTACTGTGTGATTGGAAATGATGCCTGCATACTGTGTGATTGGAAATGATGCCTGCATATCCTGTTATACATCAGTTGCTCTGTTTGCTTTTCGGCCCTGAGGGTCTTCAGAGCTGGCATCTGAGACGTTGCATAGCATCACTGACAATTTTGTGGATTCTTACACTTCTGTTGTAATGACGTCCAGAAAGAACACCACTGATGGGTAATATTCAAAGCGTTAGGAAAATAAGTCAAGCTATTGGCTGAGCCACATTCACAGTTTGCCTAGAATACACTGTTGTTTACATCCACTACAGGCAAACCGGTACGCCTGCAAAACTTGCAGTGCAAGAGAAGACAGCGGCACATCAGGCATAAGATATTAAAGAATAGGCAACTCTTAGATACAAAGCAGAGTAAACTAAACCTAAGTATGCATTTTTGTACCCATAGTCAAGCATTTGGTTAATGAGATCTGTATTTGGAGCAGTGTAACCTTGCAATGGAATAGGGAGAATGAGAGTGTTTGTGCAAGTTACAGCCCTTGGGAGATAAGAGGCAGATGGCATCCCATTCATTTATGGTGTAAGCCCAATTTTTGGTATCATTGTACTTCCAGTTGTCCTCTACAACGAACTTAACCAGTTGACTCACAAGTCACAGTTAAACATTTGTCTTGCCCATCATAGTTGAAGAGCAGATCACACACATTGTTTGCATGCTGATCATTTGCAACCCTGTTGATATGTTATTGGTTGTTGTTTAGAAGCAAAGCTGTCGAGATTATTGATGACGCAACTTAATCCTCTACCTGTATTTGCCTGTTGTGCTTAAACCTTCCACGAGTTGATTTTATTTCTTCCTTCTTTTTAAGGAAAGTTACATGTAACTTGTACATGGATTCTACTTTCAGGATTCTACATTCTTTCTGATCCCATGTCTATGCCTGTGAAAGCTGAAATCTACATTTTCTAGTATAGCTGTGAAACCGCGTACACCCTATACATGTACATACACCCTTCATACATGTCATATTTTAGTTAATAAGTAAGTATGGTAAGCATGCATTTGTTTAAACTGAATACATGTATTAGCAAATTTGCCGTATGGATTTTTTACTGATTTTATTTCTTAAAAAATAATAGTCTTCAGGAACGCCAACAAATAGGTATCTCGCTGGATTCCATCATCAACATCATCGCAGACTTGTATGACTCGTGACTCGGAGTCAATTAAGTCCCATTTTCCATGACTCAGACTCGGACTCGAGTTGTGACGAAAATGACTCGGACTACCTGCGTGACCCAGTACTAGAAAGAAGAAAAAAAATACCACAAATTTAAACTTTAAAACCTAAACTGAAATGATCGTTTCCTAAAGAAGCTTTATGGAAGGTAGTCTGTGTAATAGACCATGGCTATTAATTATGCAAGTCAACTGCATCTTGACCTCTAGATTTGGTTTGGGCCACGCTTCCACAATTGCCATGAGCGTGCATTTGAAACCAGCCAACCACATATTAATTCCCTTAGTCAACATTCTGCACCGAGCATCAATTGGGCAGATTTCATAAATACAAGGTCAAATTTTGACATTTGAACTCCGTTTGGGAGTGCATTGTTGGATACTGCATTATTTCAGACATTGCCAACATACATGTAGCACAGGTGTAATGATTTTTCGGGTGATTTTTTTTTTTACCGAGAAGTGCATTTAACATGAACAAGGCGCTGCATAATTATGTACTTCATTGAAATGTATTTTGATTATCGGAGTTTTCACTTCACCCGTATATAGATTCCGTGTACCGAATTGTGTTGCTACGTGCTTCAAACGACCAAATCCCCCCCCCCCCAAAGAAAAGAAACAATTCTACTCTTTCTGCAATGTGTCAATGCATAGAGGTCAATGTGATCAAAGTTTTCTTACCTCACACCTAAAGCCATTTGAACAGCGATAGATGACAACGTCGCCCCTCTGCAGATTTCTGGGACTTCGCAGGATTGGCCAGTCACTAGTCTTGATTTCTTTTACCAGCACTCGACGTTTTTCAAGAGGCCGAATGTGTGAGGGCTTGACGCGTGCCTTCTGTGATTTCGGGTAATCGGTCCATTTCACCCAAAAGTCCTCTCCCTCACGTTCAACAATTAGGCTTCGTAGCCACAACCCGCATGCTGGATCCACAGCTTGTACAAGCATGCCAGCATTCGGTGTAGGTTTTGTCGACATTTTGACTTGAATACGTGTATCGGGAAAACGATGACCCGTAATAGAACTACCATGTACATTTGTTGTGTGTACACAAGTGTCCGCGCGCACCGAATGATTCGACCTTCCGTATTATCTTGTACATGTACAAACATAACATACAGGCATTATAGGATGATCTACGATGCCACCTAGCTTGGACGCTTGTGTGACTCCCACTTCAAATGAGTGTATTGTGTCGTTAATTGGATAAGTAACCCTAGTGATCTCAGTAAACAACCCGTGTGTGGATATGTTTCTTAGTCTTTATTCAGTGGTGACGACATGCATAGGCCTAATAATAGAGATATTCAATGGACCTCATGTCATGCTTTATTGCGGTTCGTTGTGCCTTTGCATGTCACTACATGTAGCTAGTTTCTTTGAAGTTTTCTAGAGCGTCCATTCTTAGCGTGTACACATACATGATGGACCACGCTTCGGCTTTTGTCATTGTGCCTCCATCAGTACAATACATCTTTCTTTGGTTTGTATTATGAAAAAAGATATGGAAATTTCTTGAAGTGTGCCAATGGAGATATTTTAATGTTCCTTCCGGTTGCGTACGTGCCTGTGTCCTATCTCGCTTTTTCACAATACATGTACAATACATGTGTTATCCAGCAGTTTGGTTCGATTATATCCGCATATTGGATTGGGAAGACATGACTGTTATTTAAAGGGCTTAAGATCTCGAAAATAAACAGACAAATTCAATTAACAAGTAGACATAAATTTCTCTCTAAAATTCACAGGTTGCTGTTGTTAATTTTTAATTGAAACTTGTTTTACAGAAAAAAACAACATGTAGTTACATGTACTGGCCAGGACCTGTTCGGTCGTGTCATTATCCGTACAGTATAATGGCAAATCACAGATAAACTATATGTTAGCAAAACTCTCATAAACAATGTGGGAAAGGGGTATAATCGATATTTTTTAAAAACAAACTGAACTAAACAAAGCCTTTCAATCCATAACACATCTCAAAACGGACATTGCCAATTTTGTCAATACAGAAATACATGTGTAATTTGTGCATTGCACAATTTGTCGTTTTTTTGAGAGCAGGACCTACTTAATATAAAACGGATATAATTGCAAGGGTAAATCCAGAGCTGTCTCCATTTATTCAGAATACAATGCAAGTGATTTTGCATTGTGACAAGGATAGCATCGTGCCATAAACTTGTGGCGTCTTCCATGAATAAGTCATCCAAACTATAGACGTCCAAACAAAGAACTCCCCGTTCGTATACAGGTACATGTATCGTAAACAAATTGAACACCTTTTTGACAACGTCCTTGGAACTTTACAAATTACCTTGTTATAACAGGTCCCTTCTGTAATTAATATTGGAATACAGTACACAGAAAAACAAAGGCTTGTGACCTAAATTTGCTTGTTCAAAGCAGGATGTTGTACATGTAAATAACAGTGCTCTTTTTATCAGTACACATTTTAAAACACAATATTGTTTGCTTCAGTATTATATGCGTTATGTCAATTAATAACTATAATGCCCAAAGTTTAGGTCTATGTGGTATTTCTAAAAACAAGCTTGATCTGGCGGATCTCGGATTTTCGAAAGCAGCCGTCCAATGAATTCGTGTTCATGCATGAATCATGTTATTTAAAGAACGGTGTTTTGAGTACAGAAAATTATAACTTTTGCCCGTGGACCCTACTTATGACCATGTGTGACAATTTGATCATGTGGCGCGGCATGTTTGGCTGGACTACTGAGTTTTGACAAAGTTTGGTTGAAGTCGATCTAAATAATAGGGGCAATATACAATATTACAAGGTATGTTACTCACAAATATTTACGTTTGATACAAACTAACTAACTTATTAATTACACTTACTGACGGAGTGACGAGATTTATTGAGCTGCCATCACGCAGCTTCAAATCCACAGATATCGTCCTATACGTATTCAGCATGTACAGGTATATATAGTTACGGCCCATAGGAAGCATTTGTTATTGAAACCACCCAGGTCATTATTTCAGACCAGATAGTCCAAAGCAGCTAGAGTAAGGGGCCGTTCACAATTATCAACAGTTTCACAAGTGTACAAAGAGTACACTTTTTCAAGACCCCCCCCCCCTCCCCCCTAAAAGTCTATATATAGACACTTACATGTGATTTAAAGGGTTTTTGTAACTTTTGTAGATCAAGTTTTTGGCCATGACATGTGACACCGGCCGTTAAAAACACGCAGTGGATACGGACTATACATGTACATGTACATACAGTACATTTTCATGTACGTGTGTAGGACAATGCCGCGCATGCTGTACACAATACGTTCATGGGATGCAATGCGGGGCCTGGCGCGGGGCGCGACCGGCTCGGCAAGTGCTCGATCGGTTGCGGCTTTCGGCTGTGGCGACGGGCGAGAAAACAGATCGACATTTAAAAAAAAAAAAAAAATGTACGGCGGCCATTAACCCCCTCCCCCCCCCCCCCCCCCCAGCGTACGGTTTGTACGCTCTTGAAAATGTTGATAATTGTGAATGGCCCCTAAAAGACAGCGATTTCGTAAATTTACAGAGGTACGAGTAGACCATTTGTGAGCCCCCCCCCCCCCCCCCCCACCCCAGCAGAAATTAACAGCAATAAACCCAAATGAAATACCTAACATGCAAACTGATGAAGCCAGCAAACGTGTCTGATCAATAAACGATTTCAGTAACCGGTTGCCTCTCCACCACAAACGACAACAGCTGGGATTACTTTTCTGAGATGCGAAATGTAGCTTCGACACTTCGATGGAGTCATCCGTGTTGTCCAGAACTTTGTGATTCCTTCTCTCAGTTCGTCCTTCTCTCAGTTCATCCTTCGTCGTAGGCTTGTGAATCTGTATAGCGGTAAATTAACATAAATTGTGATAATTACGTTTTGTTCAATGTATTTGTGACCCGTGTTGTAATTTAGGCCACAAAAAAATTGGGACGGGGAAACTGCTTCTAGATTTTTTCTGGTTTATTTGTCGTATCTGTGAATTGGAGAAGAGTAGAAAATATGCGTACCGAGTTATCTTCATCCAAGAACAGAATGACTAAGTTAATTACTAAAGTTATACACAAATACTACAATTAAATAGAGAAACAGGTAGCAAGTTATTATTTACACACTTAGTTAAATACTAAAAGTGGTGCGGCGACGCGGCTTTTTTTTTTTTTTTACCTGATTTTTTTTGCCTCTAAATGTAGGCTGATGACTGCAAATGGTGCCCGACTTGACTTAGTGCAAGTGCAAATATATTGGAGTCCAGAGAGGCCACATAAAGCTTAATCTCGATCATAACCCCATCTAAAAACACGTTAAAATTGTGCAGCAGCAGGATTCCAGTCAAACCAGTGAGTTTGGCGGTTTTGAGACATCATCTTTTATTAAAAAAAAAACTTTTTCACTTTGCCAACGCGCACGGCTACGGCGACGCGCGCCCATACCAGAAACCGGAGACTTTCTTTTTTTTGGCCTTAATTGTGGATGTAGCTTCTAGCAGCAACCTTAACCGCCCGTCCTCAGTTTACGGTGGCGAGAAAAGCAAACGCCATGCTAATACGCGTCACTTTGTTCACAATACATGTATTGTACTCAGTGGGATTCTATTTCAAAGTGTATAGGCCTAAAGAACAATTTCAGTGTGAAAACGTACGACATCAATGGTGCGTTTTTTTCTGGTGGAAGTGCCATCCTGGGTTGTCGTGTTTTTCTTGCCAGGTAGTATAAATAATAATAGGCAACTAAGCGCATACACGCAAGAAAAATGAAAACAACCGTCACGGTGCGGCCCTTTATGCGGGCACTCAGTAGAGTTCACGAACTGACACTGATCTTCAGTTTCCGATATGCGAGCGCCGCACCCGGATGTATAATTATGAAGTTAGTTTCTCGAAACAAGTATCGTTTAAATATTTGTAATATTGCTAAAACGCCTCACCTTTCGTAAGAAACATTTCATTTCATTCCAGACCATCTCGATGGGGTTCATGTCCGGTGACTCTGCAGGCGACTTTATCCAATTGATGTTCTCTTTCTTCATGAAATCATCTGCGTACTTGCTGGTGTGCTGAAATTCAAACAATAACAAGTATTAAAACAAAGGAACTTAGTCAACCAAACATGCTTCATTAACGAACGTTTTGCATACCTTACTTTAGATTTGAAATCAAGTCGGTGATTGACCGCGCGATTCGGTTCACTTAGTTCGGCACATTGTGGGGACTAAACAACTTTATCTCCAAGGTAAAAATTAAAACAAAGAAGTTTGCCCCCACAAAACCATTATTTGCCCACTGTTATAGGCATGCAACCAAGGTCTGTTGCATCTTTAAAAGTGCTATGACAAAAAAAAAGAATCGGCGATACTGCCAATTTTTTTTTTTGCCTTTTTCACACATGTATAATCATGTTAACAAGGTGAATTACACACAATGATTATGTTTAAGCATTACCTTGGGGTCGTTATCCTGCATGAAACGGTGCCCATCGGGGTAGCGCTGTTTCAGGAAAGGTAATAGACCCTCCTTTAGAATCGTGTCCGTGTAGAAGTCTTTACGCATGATGCCGTCGAAGATGAAGATCTTCGTCGAGCCACGGCAACTGATGCCTGCCCAAACGTGAAGTTTGTACGGATGTTTTGGTTTTGGCTTCAAGCGCCGTTTACTTCCGTCATGCACGTTGCGAAAAGTCATTCTTGAATGTCGGTCCATTTCTACCGATGACTCATCCGTGAAAACGACATCTCTGAAGTCGTCGTTTCTTTGGAGGCATTCAAGGGCATATTTCAGGCGTTTGACTCTGTTTTCAAGTCTGATAAGCTGGCAGTACTTGGTACCTGTTCGTACCCATCCAAGTCGTCTTCGGGCGCGCTTTATAGTGTTCAAGGTAAACACAGTTCCCGTTTTCTCCAGAAGAGTTTTTTTGAATATCAACGGAAGTTGTCTCGTCCGATTTTTTTCATGGACTTGTGGATGATTGATAAGCTCCGTGCGTTCAGGAGACGACGTCGCGTACGTCTTGGCTTGTCCCGTATCAATCCGTCTTGATCAAATTGAGAAATCACTTGGCAAATTGCTCTCTTTGTGTGAAAATAACCGTCTTTGGCTATTTGAAGTCTTATTGCGTTGGGCTTTACGCCGCGATTTGACAGTTTTAGGATTTGAGTCCGAGCACGGAAAGAAATTCGACTAGGCATAGTCTAAGTCAAACGGGAGAAAAGAAGGAAAGATTTACTCGCTGCTACTCGCTTCAGCTGTAAACTCAATTGTGTGTGTGTTCGTGTGTGCGTGCTAGCACTGCGCTGACTTGAAAATTAAGGGTCTTGGGCCTAGGTATTAACGTTCAAACTTCAAAGAGTACCACCCGTTTGGGCCGCCCTATTATATCGTAGGGGACCGCTGACTTAAGTGTAAAACCGCTGGGCCTACCTTTGTTTGGTAAGCCTAAAGAGTGTATACATTATCACTGAATTACAAAAGTTGGCGCATGCAGGACCAGAAAGGCTTCAAAGAGTATACCGCTATGAGCATGGAGCTTAGAATGTCAACCTCCTTGTGTGCATAGATTTGTGTGTTATAGCACACAATGGCGTGAAGCATGTTCCTATTAGTGTGGCGCGACGGGTCTTTCTATGCCTCCCATCATGGAGCTGTTTAATTGCTCCATGCTCCCATCATAGAGCAAGGACCCAAGGAGTCAGAACTCTTTGGCGATTTACATTTTGACCATTAACATACCAATCCCTCGGGAATGTCTATAGCTACAGCACTGTGACCGCAAGCCTCGACCATTCAAAGCGTGAATGCCAGCAGCCTTTGAACACGATGATCGTCGCCGCCTTTTTAGTTGGTAACCAACAACCTCCCTATATGCTGCATAATAAGTCGGGTCACGTCGCTGCTCTTTTGTGAAAATGTATTTTACGACAAGATAGGTTTTTACAACTGCGCAGTTGTTAGATGTGAGTTATGAACTCAAGTTAGCAATGTGCAGTTGTTGGTGCTTAAAAGCGTTATCTGTCCCTGTATAAATTTGGAGATAAATTGGATTTCTTTCAGATAAGTTTTCATGTATTTTCAGACATTTTAATTGGCAATATATCATTGATGAAATGTGGGGTTTTTTTTGAAAATTTCACAAGTTTTCACATTTAAGGTACAGAGCATTTTGTTCTTCATGAAATGATTGTTCCATTGATGTTGACCACATTTATATACAGTATCATCCAACTGCGAACAAACACTTCAAAATCATTCATTTTTAGCGATGTATGACAACTGCGCATGCGTATTTACCATGGTACTGTCTATGAAGCCATGCAAACTCCTTTTTCTGGCATTAGTGAGCGCGGATCTCTATTGTGTCAAGATTAGCGTAGTGAGCAACTGAGCAAGCTGGCCGCCAGGTGCTTTCTATTGTAGCTTTCGAGCGCGGCGACCATCATTTTACTTTTGAAGTCTTGGAGTACGAACTCCTTGGGTCCTTGCTCTATGCTCCCATGGAGGAAGGAATAGACCTTTCTTCACCGGGCATTCACGGCAAAACAACAAACGTTAACAGTTCAAAATGTTGGATACATAATGGAGGAATTCCTCCATGGATACATGCATGAAGTATAGCCATTTTGAAAGGTAGTCGAGAAAACATCATTCAGGGATAATGTTTATATTCAAATGTAAAGCAGAGTGCAACTAAATCTGACAACGTTTTAGCGCACTGCATGCAGTGAATGTTGTATATTCCAAGAAAACAATATTCTAGGATCTCGATTTCAAATCAAAGTTGCCGAGAAATGAAACGAATTGCGCCCGGGGCCGAATTCATCGTCCAGACCGGTCACATTACAATCGTGAATGATTGTACGTCGATCGTTCCAACACCAAATTGACAACGAACTACATGTACTATGGAAAATTCCAAAAATGCGTCTTCACAGACCTTGTTGGAATGGCCTTCTTTCATTTGATTTGCCCGTAAGAATAATTTCAAAGGGACTTAATTTCGTGCCATTACTTTTGTTTCAACAATAGTTTCATCAGTTACTTGCTGCAAATGATGGATTATATACGCAGCTGTAATTAATACTAAATAAATTACTGAGAGCGCTGATGAGCCGGATGACACGTTACCTTAGAATACATGAATAAGTAACTCGTGTGTGTACACAGTCAGTGCAAAATGCATAAAAGACGTTTTAATAACGCGGGTGCTGCTCGAAATGTCTTAGCAATACGGCACAAGAAAATTTGACGCCCGAAATGCTGATGCACGTGGCAGCCTGCAATCTGTAGGAAGTGAAGTCGTTTTCAAGTAAAGTATGAGCCCATGCGGAAAGATGGTAAAATTAGCTCTTATTTTTAAAGACCGTGTAACTCAATTTGTATTTGTCTTGCGGACTGGCAACATTTTTGTCTTGGCGGAAAAGCTAATGAACTGTACTTCATATGATATGTTTCGAAATTTGCAAGTTCTTTTTTAGCTGTGAAAAGGGGGCTTAAGACCAAACAAAAAATGGTGTGTTTACGGAAACCCGACCGACCTGAAAATTTGTCTGCCAAATTACCGACTTCAAACTTTTTATTGCCATTTTGAAGGTTGATATTGGTAATTTTAAATGAACAAATTTCAAATATTTCAAGTACTTTTAATTATTTGCCACGAACATAAGCCATTTTCCACACTTGAAACTGACCATGATTTGACACAAACATACCTGTGTTAAACGTGCGAAAATCAAAATGTCTTCTCAAAACTTGAATTTTGCGCAAACGCATTGAGGTGAACTGGTGCGCCTGGCCGACGGACGGCAGGGTTATATACATGTAGAATAAAAGTCCCCACGTGCAATACAAACGTGCGTACTGCATTATCAGCCCGATACGTACGCCGACAAAAATGCTCATCAAATTTTTCAGCCCCCGGTACTCACAAAATAATTATTATACACGCCATTAAAATGCACAATATAATCGTTACGTACGCCATTATTTCATCTTGACGTGCATAATCATGGCAAAATCTTGAAAAATCCCCTAGTTCTGATGCACGTGTGATCAAAATGCACACAACTATTTCTGTTAGAAACCCAGCTAGCGCTGCCTGCGGGGCATTATATGCATGGTTCCCTTCGCGTGCTAACGGAATCGATGCTATGATGAAGGACAGGAACCAGTGACTACTTGCCTACACATACGTCGTAGTATGCATGATGACAGTGCAATCGGCCGAAGTTGGATCGTAAACTAAATACCAAACAAACATCCATGGAAAAAGAGAATTTACGCGAATTAATTCACATAATTATTTCTTTGTTTTCTGTGTACATGTATATGTTTTCCATTGATATGACGCGATTGCAAAGCTCGAACTTGTGGCAAAACATCGTAGCTGGCCGGGTTTTTGCAGTAGTGCAAGATTTTCGGCCACGTGGGATGGGCTGCACTGTGAAGAGCCGCACACAGTGCAGTAATGCACAGACTGATACTGCGCGGTGAGCACGGCGCTACGGCCAGCCAGACTGAATGTTGGCGGCGCCAGCGGCAGTGATTTATGATATAATAGAATCACCCACCTCAAAATGAATACCGACCAACGTTTTCCTTTTCAAATTTGCTGTGATCGTCTAATAGTAATACCGAAGTTCATTGCGAAATGAAAGTGTTATCATCACAATGATAATGTTCTTCTTGATCATGTTGATTGTTTCGTATGTACGAAGCATTTCTTAAGCACCCGATCCTGGAAAAAAATTGAATGCATGCTGTAACTCAAACTATGATTATGAAAAGTGGCATTAACACTTTTGGCATCACACAAATTTATTTTCCTAAAAGTCAAATCTGTGAAATATTTCCTTCACTCGAGGTGTAAACTTCTTAATGATGGTAAATTAATCTAACATTTCAGCCGAAAGCAGACTGACTGAAAGTTCAGCACAAGATCGTGGCATAATGGGTTTTATGACTGTAAATTCACAACAGCACCTCTAACCGCAAGATAAGAATGTGTGCCGCGTGGTCGTGGTGATTAAAAGGACGTTTAGGCCACAGTAGAGGACAGTGTCTTTTATATGTTCGTTGCATGATAGCATGAAGTTAATCACCTTGGCCAAACCGCAGACTGTTTGCCTACATGAGGAGGGCGAAGTTTTATGCGTGTGCGTAATGCACGCTCCGATAATAGCAGGGGCATTAACCGGTACCCGCTGTTTATCGAGGGTCGTGATTCGCTAACCGTGAGCGGGACTGTAAGTATGCATTTGTGTACCCATAGTCAAGCATTTGGTAAATGAGATCTGTATTTGGAGCAGTGTAACCTTGCAATGGAATAGGGAGAATGAGAGTGTTTGTGCAAGTTACAGCCCTTGGGAGATAAGAGGCAGATGGCATCCCATTCATTTACGGTGCAAGCCCAATTTTTGGTATCATTGTACTTCCAGTGGTCCTGTACAACGAACTTAACCGATTGACTCACAAGTCACAGTTAAACATTTGACTTGCCCATCATAGTTGAAGAGCAGATCACACATTGTTTGCATGCTGATCGTTTGCAACCCTGTTGATATGTTATTGGTTGTTGTTTAGAAGCAAAGCTGTCGAGATTATTGATGACGCAACTTAATCCTCTACCTGTATTTGCCTGTTGTGCTTAAACCTTCCACGAGTTGTTTAAGTGCACTACCGGCCTTCGTGGTTGCAGCCCCAAGCAAATCTTAAGCCAGATGGGTAGCAAAGAAAGTGATAGGTGGACCTCTTGGAGAAGACACAAGCCTATATAAATAAACTTTGTTACAAGTAGGTTATAATTAAGAGCTGCAATACATGTTATTCAGCGAAATTAACTTCTCACTGACCAGTAAATTTGCCTTTTATTTCAGGAATCA